TTTCGTCGAATTTGTCAACATGGACGGTAATGCCGCTCTCGCGAGCGAGGTCGAGCTTCTATGCAGTCACCCATCACAAACGGAACGGGAGTACGTGTGTAGCGACCCCCGGCATCACCCGACGGAGACCGTCCAGCGCAGCCGGCCCAGCCGGCAACCCGTAACATAGAGATCATACATACATGCGGGCCGGTTACGAGCGGCCCGTATGCCGAAGTGCCCATAGTTGCTCGTTGGCCGTTTCGCGTCCAGCGTAGGAAAGAAAAAAACAATTATGCTGCTTTATTTACGGTTTAGTAATCATTTCCGGTCCGATTTATACTTTTCATGGTTATTCAAGCGGAAATTAGAACAGTATTTCTAAAAATCGAGAGCCAAAACGTGACAGAGGGCACGTCTCGTTTCGACCAATCGCTGACGCGTCTCTTGTGACGTCGCGCCTTTTGGCCCCGCATCGGTCACGTGAGCTCCGCTTCTCCTGGCTCCTCCCGCAACTCTCGGGGCGTCGCCCCAGTCGATCCCGGTACGATTATTACCGCGACTGTTTAATTGATTTGCGCGGCACACGAGTGCCGGTTTCGGCTGAAATTTGGTTAACGTGACCTGAGACGTGCCTGGAACCCAGTTCAATCGCCAAAAAGATGTCCGAAATTGCCTTCATTGTCCCTTTAAGCTCGTTTCTGGACCGCGAGTGCCGCAAGTATGCAGTCGTCAGAGTAAAGTAAGACGCTGATCCAGAGGCGCATACGGCTTCACGCACATTGCACTCGCAAAACACATCCACACGGCGTCGATTCTTGGTCGGTATCCAAGCGTGCGAAGGCACAGAGACACGGTGCTTCGGCGTGCCAAGGGAGCTTTGAACACGCCGCCAGACTGGTGAAACTTGCTTTCGACGAGTTGTGTCCTGTTCTTGCGACACTACGCTTTCGTAAAATTTTCCACATGTTCTCAACAGCAAGTATCACGCCTCACACAGGACCTTAAAAAACGTCTTCGGCGAATGACGACGAACGAGTAGAAAGCGTGTCTATAGCACGCTGGAAAACCGCAGCGAAACGCTAGCGAAACGAAAAAATTTACCATGCAAGATGGTTGTGCGGTGGCCGCACAGTTTCGCATAGATCAGTGGGTTACATCAAGGAGGTCCTGTGTGAGGCGTACTAGGAGGGGGCACGTTGCAATATTGGTGAAGCCAAGTCATAAAAAGGGTAAACGATAATGTGCCCAACGTGGACCGCAGGTCTCTCTGGCGATTAATGCTCGTGAAATGTCACGTGCGAGATGGATGGTTGATTGTAGGATTCCTTGCAGGCTTGCGCGCCCTCGTCCGGTAGGTGTTATCAGATCGAACGCTAGACGAAGATAAAATAGTAACGGTGCAGGTGAGCTGGTGAATGTTAACTAACGTTACTAAAACACTCAGTTGGGAAACTCGCCGTCGAAACCTGGGCCGCTGGCGTCCACCGAGACCGAGCTAAATGCGACAACAGCGCCACTCTTTATCGTTTGTCTGTACTGTGGTCACCTTGAGCTTTTTGAAAGCCTGTTTTCGCGTAAAAACAAACGGAAAATACTCTTTTTGTATGAAATTTATTGAAGTTTAGTACAAAAAGAGGGGCGCGTTATGTTTTTAAAATCTTTAGTTTGCAGGGTTTTGCGGCACAATTAATATTGTTTTTATACAACCATGCCTCAGCGGGCCTTTCAGGTAGCGCGTCCCGACCTAGGTTTATTTGAACTTCGGTGGTGGCGTTGAGTTCGTCATTAGCTCGGTGCTCGGAGACAGATTGGGGCCACTTTTCCAAAGCTGTCTCTATGGGAGTTTCCCAACTGAGTGTTTTAGTAACGTTGATGTTAACCATGTCTCAGGTTTATTCAACATGGCTAGACGAAGGCTAGCTACGGTCACGTGATGTGGTCATGTTGGGCTGATAAGTGAGGAGAGTAAGGAGGAAAATGAGAAAGAGGCGAGGCTTCAAGGGAGCATGGCTTGTAGAGGCTACGTGGCTGATGTCATGCCCTCTCCGACCCCTCTCTTCTCTAGGGGTTACAGCCATAGTTATTACAATAGACGCTAGAGGTTCAGGTGGCGCTAGTGTGCTGTTGCGTGCAGAGCCGTTTATACTGGTTGCGTGTTAAAGCAGACAGCAAGCAGTCAGAAATTGACTTCCGGTAATGCCTATGGGAAAAAGAGTGCCTTTTCTCTGTGCGCTCGATTATAAGAGAAAGCATCACGAATAATTTGTGCGTACTAGGCACATTGGAACATTTCTCAGTCACGCAGACAAAATAATTGGTCAGTTACAGAATTTTTATTTGAAATTCGAGGCATGAAAAACGGTGCTAAAACCGCTTCATACGTGTATTTGTGTGCACTGTCGGACACTGTTAGCGCGTGCCAAACGAACGAAGGACGTGTGGAAAACCAAGAGAGACGGCAAGAACTACGCAGTAACACTGGATAAGTAACTCCTTGTGCATGCAGACGATCAAAATAAATTGAAAGCCACGTAATAAAGTCAGATTTGCAATAAAGGAGTACTGCTTTATTCTTTTTGCTCATGTGCGAAGATTCTTGTTCTGGGTTCGAATCATCACCCGCACGCTCGCAATCTTTGCAAATAGGGAGCAGCCAGAGTGCAGGTACCCGGTAAAAACTGCCCGACATAGGAAATAATAAAAAGACACACCTTTCGTAGCTCATGTGCTTTATTTTTTGCGTTCGAATTTTTTTTTTTTAACCGATCGTAAAGGTGCACGACGGAGTCATTTTCATCCAATGACAGGACGGTCATATTACAATATACAAGCACCACCGAAATGCTGGCGAGCCTTGAACACACTCTACATTCCTTTCGTTGCTCGTTTTTACATACCTTCCATGAAACAGAGGTTTGGGCCCGAAATAGAGTGAAGTTTAACACCCTTCAGTGGTAAAGAAAAATGCTGTAACTAAAGCAATCACACTTTCACAATACCAATAAAGGCACATACTATCCCGTATAACCGAAATAACAAAAGTTATTCATGTTATTTTCCGGCGAAGAGACAAAATTCAGGCGCGTTTTCCGATAGGAATACACAGGGAGGCTGGAAATGTAGACTGCATGCTGTCTGCTTCAAATTGCAACCGGAAGTCCCATAGACACTAGCGCCAGCTGAGCCTCTAGCGTTTACAGCCTCTAGCATTTATCCAGTTTCTCCTCTGAGTTTCTTGTCGCTTGAATTGACCCCGTAAGTGATGACGTCACAACAAGGCGTCTGGGTCCAAACAAACCGTTGCTAAGGACGTTGCTATGGACTAATGCATGGAGACTCCACATGAGGCTAGAGTTTTGCTTAGAAGTAAGTAAATAATTTTTTGTAAGCAACCTAACTTCTTGATATTTAATTATGAAAATGTTCTCGCCGTCTCAGTGTCGTATTGCAACAATGAAAGCCATTTCTGAAGTATTACATTCCGCTTTGCTTTGGTAGCAGACGACACGATAGGTTTGCTGGCCTCTGTTGCAGCGGGCGTCTTCATTGAATTGCGTCGGTAAACAAGCGAAAAAAACAAGTGCATTGCCGTGGCCGTAGAATGTGGGTTTTTATTTCTGTGAAAGAACCCAGCCTATTTCAGAGTAGTGAAAATGCCGTAAAATCAAAACACGTCATGCATATCATTTACGACGACGACCTGAAGTGCATTACCGGCGTAGTGCAGTCCAGTATGAGAAACAAATCGTACGCCGTCAAGGTAATTCGTTTATTATTATTATTATTATTATTGAGGTTGTCAGGTTAATAAAAGAATTCCATGTCTATCGCGATTTTTCAGTAACCATTGCAGCGATGTTTACAACCAGGTACGACGCGCCCTTACATAGCGGGAGTCCACAAACAAAATTTGGGATCTCGACCGATCGCCTGAAGTGCTTTTCTCACGGGTCCAATGCGATCTTTTAGCAAACGATCATCTCGCTCGACGCCCGGACTTCCGATAAACCATATTTTGCTTCGCACCCCACTATGAATTCTTTTAAGGTATTGAAAGTCTTTATATTTAGAACAAATTAAATATTAGAATATCGTCCTTAGTCACACGATTCAAACGACGGCGCCGGCTTGGCCTGCCGGCGTGTGGCAGACGGCACACTTCTTGCATTCGTCGTCTGCTGCAGGCACCTTGAGGACCGGAAGTTGCAGTCGTAAATATTTCAGAAACAAGCGATTAGTAGCACACTTCTGTCGAAATATATATGACATTCAAGCTTCCTATATCTGTGATTTTTAGAAGTTTAAATCCTACTCCTGATTTTTGAACGGTCGGGTTTTCGTAGCAAAACCTAGCCACATGTATTTGTCCATAACAACGACCCTGGCAACGGTTTGTTTGGACCCATGACGTCACACTTACGGAGTCAATTCCGCAAATCAAAATGGTATTTAAAATTTCAGTTTTATTATACTTCAAGGTATTTTTAGAACCACAGAGGCCGTCAACAAAAGGAATCTTCAGTTTATTCATAACTTCAATGCACTAGAACTACGCTGCCTGGAACGCGTCTCCGACTGGTGTGTTTAGAGACTTTTTAGTGTTGTGTCGTTTACCCCCAGTCTCGGGGTTTTTTCAACCATGTGTTTACCGCGTCCAAAAAAGTGGTCCCTTGATTTCCACTTGATGTCGTCATAAAAATGTCATTTTGTCGCTGGTTGCGGCCCTGGCGGTGTTTCAGTAGCTGTGGTGCAAGTCGCAGACGCCTGTTCTGCTGCAGGTCGCTCTTCACTTCGACAGTCCACAGAAGTTGCAGCAGCAGGAAGTTGAGACGCCTGGGATGCCGTGACGACAGCGACACTCACGTTCGCTCGTGCTTTTCGCCAGCATTTCTACGACCAACCGCTAGGATCGCGACAAGCTACAACATGACTCTCCGGCTTCTGTGACGTCATTTGTTGCCACTTCGGGACCACTTTTGATGTAGGGGTAGGATGGGACGCTGAACACACCAGTCGAAGAGTGTCGAAGACGCACTCCAGCATGCACTCCAGGCACCACACCACCCCTTGAGCGCCTTGAGCCAACGTTTCCTCTGAGCGTAGTAACCCCAATAGAGTACGGCTCTGACCCCAATGAATGCGGGCTACTCCGGCGGGTCGTGTCACTTGACAACACAAACTGAAGAATGCTGGACGCGGGTAGGTTTTAGAAGGCCAAGGTACAAAATCGTTACCCTGGAGTAAGATCGAGTAAATTTTGGAACACGGCCTTAGTGGCACTAGTCAACTCTGGCGCCCCTGGCGCTGATCACGGCTCTGGAAACCGGCGCTCATTGCATCCATCCATCCATCTGTAAACATAGATTCCGGCCAGCGTTGATTCCGGCAACCAAAAAAGGTGAAAACTCGGCGAATTGTCATGTGAGCAACTATGGAATTCCGCCATTTCCGGCTCCTGTGCCGCCGAGCAGCTCGAGTAGCCGCTGAAGACACCGAAGAAAATTCCGTAAACGCGTTTCCGTGCGAAGCAGGAGTCAGCCCCCCGATCAGCCGTCCGTGACAGCATGCCGCCCAAGAAAAAGGAGGATGAGTGCGAACGCCCGGTGCTCATCGGCAGAGTGGGCACCAACCTAAAGGTGGGGATAGTGGGGCTGCCCAACGTGGGCAAGTCGACCTTCTTCAACGTGTTGACAGCCAACCAGGTGCCGGCCGAGAACTTTCCTTTCTGCACCATCGACCCGAACGAAAGCCGCGTGTCCGTACCGGACAGTCGGTTCGACTACCTGTGCGACTACTTCAAGCCGGTCAGCAAGGTGCCGGCTTTCCTGAACGTCGTGGACATCGCCGGCCTGGTCAAAGGGGCCAGCGAGGGCCAGGGTCTGGGCAACGCGTTCCTCTCGCACATCCGCGCCTGCGACGCGCTCTTCCACTTGTGCCGCACTTTTGAAGACGAAGACGTGACGCACGTCGAGGGCGACGTGAACCCGGTCCGCGACATGGACATCATCAATGAGGAGCTGCGCAAGAAGGACGAGGAGTACCTCCTGGCCATCGTGGACAAGATGGAACGCACCGTGCTCCGGGGCTCGGACAAAAAGGCCAAGCCCGAGTACGACGTCCTCGTCAAGATACGCGGCGTGCTGTGCGACGACAAGAAGCACCTGCGCTTCTGCGATTGGAATGCAAACGAGGTGGAGGTCCTCAACAAGCACTTGTTTATCACTGCCAAGCCCATGATCTACCTGGTGAACCTGGCCGAGAAGGACTTCATCCGCAAGAAGAACAAGTGGCTCATCAAGATCAAGGAGTGGGTGGACAAGAACGATCCCGGCGCGGCCGTGATCCCCTTCAGCGGTGCCTTCGAGCACAAGCTTATCGACATGACGCCAGAGCAGAAGGCGGCCTACGAAGACGAGCACAAGTGCACCTCAGTCCTGGACAAGATCATCGTCACCGGTTACAAGGCACTACAGCTCATGTACTTCTTCACGGCGGGCAAGGATGAGGTCAAGGCGTGGACCATCCAGAAGCACACCAAGGCTCCGCAGGCGGCAGGCAAAATCCACACGGACTTTGAGAAAGGCTTCATCATGGCCGAGGTGATGAAGTTCGACGATTTCAAGGAGGAGGGCTCGGAGGCGGCCGTCAAGGCATCCGGGAAATACCGGCAGCAGGGTCGCAACTATGTCGTTGAGGACGGAGACATCATCTTTTTCAAGTTCAACGCTGGGGCGGGCCTACAAGCCAAGAAGAAGTAGGGCTGCACTCCCGGGCCGACTGACTCTGGGTGTTCTGGGAGTGCACCTGTCCAATAACGGCGAGAGAAGCAAAATGTGGGAAGCATGGCCATCCAGCAACCTTTTTTTTCTAAAAAATGCAGCCGCACCATCGTTGTACTCCTTTTGTGGCTTGTGCACATTGTGGCCAGGGCCCACTGCCCGTGCTGCGCAAAGCAGGGGAAGTTATGTTCGACAGTTGTTTTGTTCTCAATTGACAAAAGAGGGAACTTTCGTCATTTGAGCCTCTAACCAATCGGACGCAATATTGTCACTTCCGTTTCTTTTTAGGAGAAACGAAACATTTGTCGAACATAGCCCCCCAGGCTCCTGTGTAGCCACTGAGGAGGTTCCAAATACCGCATCTCTATCAAAGAAATGCAGTGTTTAAACTGCCTGTCAAATGGAAGGGTTTTGCTCATCTCATGCACTCGTTTGCTAGGCAATGTTGATTTATTTCCCGACACAATAGGTTCTCTCATAATTTTACATATCCCGCCAAGGATATTGCTACTAAAGCCCCCATGTACATGGAAGTAACACAATTCATTGTTCAGAATGTTCCTCCATGCTGGCACCTTTGCTAAACATGGTGCCATGAAACCAGGGAGGAGGAGGCTCGCCGGCCAATCGCGGTATCTCATGAGCACACATGTCGGGGGAGAGGTGGAATCGCACTAGTTTTCCCGTTTACAAGGGCTCTGCAACCGATAAACATCCTATACACTACCTCATTGCTCCCAAAAAAAACTTGTGCAGAGGGCAAAATAACAGGAGGAAGGCATGTGCATGCCAAATGCCCAATTTGCGCATGAAATGCTGGAAGAGTGTCTAGCAACATCCGATGCAAAAATGCAGTCCACGACGCTCAAAAATGGGCATGGTAATTGAGAAATCATAATTTTTACCACGGCACTCGATAGGGCTCAACAACAGTAGTAAAGTGTCGGGTATGCCCGAGAAAACATTTGGGGCTCTTTTGCACTGTACAAGCCAATCACAGAATGCTGAAACTTCAACGGAAGGTAGCTTCAGCAGTGAAGGTAGGATGCGCAGGTTTCAGGCGAATACTTTCTCGAATAAAAAGTTGGAAGCAATTTCTTAAAGGATTTGGACGAGAAGTCACCATCCTCTTGTGGTGGCAGACGTAGGCATGACCTCAGAGATGACTGGCACGCATACTTCCTCTTGCCGCTTCATTCCTCGAGAAAGGTCATGCACGAAAAGAAAAAAAAGGGGGCTCTTGGTAGGGCACAAACTACTTTTGCAGCAGTTTGCTGGCTTTTAGTTCCTGCTTATGTGCAATGGTACTCCTTACTCAAGGAGGGATAGCACGCTTGGGGCACGAGTCCTGGGTGCACCCCTCAACTAAAGCCCCTTGATCAAGCTTGGCGTTCCTTACAAGTACCGACAAAAACTGTTCTGAAAGGACTCTGGGCCACGAGCAAGTGCTGTGCCGCCATTTATCTCCAAAAGCTGCACGAGTCGGGGGGCCTCCTGTACTGGTGCATTTGAGACTACTTTTAGGACTGATCACAAACACATCGAGTGAGCCAATCGGCCTACAGCACAGAGCGAGAGGCGCAAGTGCATGAACTGCCAGCTGAGCGGGGAGGGCCGCCATTTTCCTTCATTCACACGATTGAGTGCATAGGATCGACATCTCAATTTCGGTTCTTTCCATTTCTTTGGCAGGCTCTAGCAAGAAAGTTATATAGCGTTATTCCTTGGTTGTTTAAAAACCTGACGAAGTTTCTCTACGTTTGAATGCAAACTTTCATTCAGGCGAAAAAGAAAGCCCGTAGCAGACGACGCGTAACCTCAACAGTGCTCTGCGCCAAAAGCGTGTTGCCTCAAAATAACGGTCGTCTCTTCTTTGCTCACTTTTTCCTCTCGCTTCTTTGGCACTCTCTTCACTTTTCTCCTCTCCAGCGCCTTCGTTGCCACACCCACTGGCCAGACTCTTTCAATATACAGCTCTGGACTTTAAGAAGCTGCACTGCTGTATCGAATGATGACACGAGCTGTGGGGTAAGATTGAAGAAAAGGGAATGAAGTTTAATGTCCCTTAAAGGGATACTAAACCGAAATTTCGAACTCGCAAAACAAGGCTCGAACGATAGGCAGGACGCTGCAAAACTCGACAACATCACTCGTACAGCGATATCTCTAACGGATCGCCGTATTTTTGGAAAAGAAGTGTGCGATTAAACAAGGCCGACGAGACAAGTCATGTCACGATTCTCATTCCCTCTCCGTTTCGCTTTATCTCCTCCAGCTGGTGAACCGAAGCGAGGCCGCTTCCTCTCATTCTCAAATGTTCCAGGAGGACAATGACGTCGTAGGCCTCACTTGATCGTGCCCTTCTTTTCCAGAAGTATGGCCATCCGTTCGAGATACCGACGTACGAGTGATGTTTTGGAGGTCGTAGCGTCCCGTTCAACACTTCTGCGGCCTTAGTTTGAAAAATCCAAGCTTCAGTTCAGTATTCCTTTAAATAGCCTGTGGTGGCACTGCCCATGGTGCAGCAGGTTGCCAGAGCAGATGGATGGATGGATGGATGAATGCGGCTGAGCCCTTTGGATCGGGCGGTAGCGTACGCCACCTAGCCATTTTGTTTTACCATTTAAGCTTAGAATATTTAAATGTGAAATCTATATTCACTCCGCACTGCAAAGAAAGTGAGGCTATAGAAGATTGCAAGCTGGGCGACTGGCCGCCGCCATGTCTCTGCTCGAGCAGGCACGCCCGAGCGATTACGTGCTTGCCAAAGCTAAGTTCACCTGCGCGTAGCACGCGCTTGCACGCATGGGGCACCACTTGTGCCGCCATGCTTGCAATTGTCTATAAAACCCCCTTGCCGTGCAGTAGCACCGATGCAACCGCCACCTGGTAAAGCACCATAGAAATAGTATGCTCCTGCTGGGTGGTCAAGAGTATGCAATGGCCAGAGGAGAACTTTGCTCACTGGCAAGCTTTTTTTTTTTTTTATTTAAATAGGATTAATTTGATTTAAATCACTCTAGCTATAAAATTGCAATTCTTTACCACTAGATGCATTTTTTTAACATGGCAGACTGATTGATTCATCCCATCACTGATAATTCGGGAGAAAAAAAATTACTGTAAAGCACTGTTCTGATCTTTTATTACTGTAATCCCCACCATACGAGAACAAAAACAGCATAATTTGTTTAGTTAGTCAAAACTTGATTTGATCTTTCGAGTTGTTACTCCATTACAAAAGGACACTACTTGCCTAGTTTTCGCTTCTTTTGTGTTCCAATTTTGTAACATTAAGATGTTACGTAGCTGACGAATGAAATGGAAAGCAGAAATCAAGGTAAATGCTTCAATTCGCTCAAAAGAGCACTTTTTTTTTTCTTTTTTTCTCATGTTTAACCTTATAAGAATCTTTCTTGCTTGATGGTTCTTTGATCTAAATACAAATAAAATACACAGAGAGAGGATCAAATTATAGACAAATGGTAAATAAAAAATATCAGGATTATTTTGCAGGAAATGTTTGATTTCAATCGTAGTAAAACTACTACGAGTTAAAACACAATTTATATCATATTTATTTTACACCCTGCCAGCAAGGCAGTGACGCAAGCCAGCTACATGACACTGATTGGTAGATGATGCCATCTGTGTTTTGCTTGCAGAGCTTGCATAACAGAACGGCGGAGGTTTCCATGCAAATGATATTGCATGAAGCTCATATGTGCCACAATGTGGAAATACTAAATATAGCCAGTTTACTGGGTTTATCCCCCAGTGTTGTTTCAGCATTCTGCAATGCAAGGTTAACTTAGGAGCTGGCAAAAAAAGATTTTCTCGGGCAAATCCAGGACAGCTAAAGGCACGACAAACCGTACGCACACTTGCAACTCAGTTGCATTTGATGGGAAACAAGCTCATACATGAGGTATGTGTGGAGAGCATTTTAATCATCACAACAGGGGATATGTGATACATGCTTTCCAAGAGTCCACTATTTACATCCTCGCACAGAGGCTTTTCAGAAATGGAGGAATCAAGAACATGAACGGTACTCCCCTTTCCAAAGTATGACTAGAGTCTAGGGTGAATCAAACATGGCCACTTACAAGAGACTCATATAAAAAAGAGAATTGCACATCCCACAAAAGAAGTTGCCTCTATCATTGATTCAGCACCTGTCCAGGACATGCTAGAAGAGGTCTTTTCAGAGCCTCACCTTGACCTACGAGCTGCGTTGATTAAAACCCAGAAATTATTTACGTAATGAGTGCTAACATCGAGGAAAGGGTCGGCATTAGAACTTGGTTGGAGCAAACAAGGGGCAATGCTGGTCGTGGCTGCACTCGCAACTGATCCAAAAATGGACTGGGCATCCTCCAATAGTTCTGGCCCTTTCAGAGCAGATGTGCAGACGAATCCTGTATCACGTTTGAGATAGGGAAGCATCCTAATCATTTTCTTTAATTTCCCACAGCACATAGATCCGGTTATTGGTCTCAAAAGACGAGGTTGCAAATCTCTTCATGCACCTTTCCAAGCTTGGGCGGACAACTTTTGCACCATTTGAGGAAAGAGATGCTTGTCCAACCTCTGGTGTTACAGTTACAGGCCAAAGCTCCACGTTCCCTGGCAAACACCACTAGTAGCAGAATAAAATGGGACGTACAAAACTTAAGGTCACACGCTTCCCGTTCACTCTCTCCCTTGCCCGCTCATGAAAAGCTCACACGTGCTTTGAAGACAGGCATCTTATTTAGGCATGGTTGCAGTGCACAAGGAGACGAGAGGAAGAAATGATTTGGCAATTAGGTTTCGGAGGCCGTTGAATGGTCCCGAGTGCCCGTGACCCGGTCGGAAGGTCTCTGGGGCTAGGGCGCCATCTCGACCCTCTCCTGGATCTCGCTTCGGCACATGGGACACACCTCCAGCTGCAGGGCACAGTGGCTGCAGAAGCCCCTGCAACGAGACGCGGACGGGCCCATCCTCTTCGCCGGGCAGGTCTCGAGAGTGCACACTTTGAGAGACAATTCACGACAGCATTCAGGGTTTAGGCTTTGCTCGCCCATATCGTTTGAAGTGTGCAGGGACGACAGAAATCGGCCCAAAAGACCAGCCTAGGCTCAGCAACACTTTTTTTTTTTTTTTTCAAGATATCAAGTCTTTTGCGGCTAATTTCCAGATTTATGCGCCAGCTGCCGTGCAAAGGTACGAGAAAGAATTGTCCCCGGTGAAGGTCCCGAAATCTAGTGTGGATATGCTGGACACTTTACCGGAGCCACAAGTGCACAGCTGGCATGAGCATGCATCCATGTAAGGATCGGCCAAGTGGCGCCACTTTTCCCCACGGCACCTACTTGTGTTGGCAGGGCTCCAACCGCACCGCTGCACTGCGGTCAAAGCAGAGCGTGCACGAGTCTTCCCTGACGCTGCTGTGCCGCAACTTCTCCATGCGGATGTGCCTGTTATGACAAGGAAGCATTCTAGAAGGCCACCAGAGACAAGGCCAGCTCGGTCAAAGCATCTGCCGACAATACATCTCCCTATCATTTAGCGAGTTTCATTGCCATTGGCCCAAAATCAAGCTTTCTGCTTGAGAGGAAAGCATTTCCAATGAGGTTGCAACCTAGTGCATCCAAGCTAGGGCCATCCGTTCCTCGCAATGTCTCGTTTGGGGTGCGTACCTGGGCAGTATGACTTTGTCCTCTTCGGACAGGTGGGCAAACGAGTTGAAGCAGGAGAACTGGACGCCGCTAGGAGGAAATCTGAATGGAGAGCGGCCAAAGTTGAACTCGCACTGCTGGAACGTCATGAAGCTTGCCGCCGCAAAGAACCCCGACCTGGATGCAGCAAGGTGTCGCCAAGTTAGGATCTCTCGCCACCATGAGCCAGACTCAAGCAACCGGGTATGCAAGTGTGCTCCAGTGAGCTGAGACCCACTTGGCATAGGGAAACACTTGTGTGTTTGGAGGAAGTGGCTGCCCGTTCAGGTAGAAGGTGATCTCGAGGGCCTTAACATCGAGGAGGGTTCCCAAGACGTCCCCTGCACATCACCGGGGGGGCCCTGTAATCCCTGCTGGGAGTACCCTTTCTCCCCGCCATACCTGGCTTCCAGCAGGGATGACTGTGGCCCTGGCTTAGGGCGTTGTGCCAGATGAGCTGTCGGCAGCCGTCGTACGCTATGGAAAACTCGTCGTCGCCGATCCCGTAACCTTCCTGTTTCCATTGGGAGAAGGAAAAATAGTCCACCATCAGACTTTTCGAAAAATTCTTCAAAATGACGGATTCGCGAAAGCCCTCATCAGACCTGGCTCAACTTCTAAAAGCACTTACATTTGCCGAGCCTTTCTCAAAAACAACAAATATTTAGAGGAACGAGTCATAAGCCTGGTTCAGACACTTGCATTGGTTGCGTTCAGAGTGACTGAAACGACAGCAATGACAAAGTCACCGGGACAAGTGACCGCCGTATCCAACATGGCAAACAACGCAAGACTGAAGCAGTCATGAGTCGTGGTTTTCCAGGTGTTTCCCGTCGTTGCTGCCGTTATGGTTGCTCTGAATGCAACAGACACAAATGTGTGAACCATTTTCTGAGCTTCTTTCAGAGAAGTTCTCGAGATGTTTTTCCACATTGATACATTTTTTAGGAATTTGGCGGTTTGAGGTTCTGATTTGCACTGAACTGAGTTTTTTAGTACATTCACCAATTTTGAAATGAGTTTGATTTCTCATTTTGCATATTTTCGAGACTTGGTAAGAAGTGGCCTTCAGCCTTGGTCGGCTGTGCTTCAAGCTCTTTTGTGTGGCTCTCGTAGTCCCTGAAACTTCGAGCAGTGTTTCCTAAGTTTCCAAGATGCTTCAAATGTATCTAGGATCCCGAGTCTGGAATTTCCTAAAGGCCTAAAGCTTTCTACCTCCGACAGTCATTGGGTGCCGCCACAAGGCATGCCTGCCCCAGGGAATCGCGGAATGGCTAGGACTCGTATTCTGCCACAATCCACAATCCACACCACAATCCAGAGTCCATGGGGGGCAGAGAGGCTGTCAGGCTTCACGCCTTTATCTCTGCCCCCTGGGTAGAAAAACCCGCCAAACAAATAAACAAGAAAAAAAAAAGGTTCGAGACGAGTTTTAAACAGCCCAAAAGTCAACCGAGTATCCTTGGAAAAAAAAATATCCCTCCATCTTTCTGAGACATGATCTAAAAAAATCAAAGCCTTTCATTTGTATAAATCTGTATCCCAAAATTATTTACCAAGAAGTTTTACCTTGGGATTTAGCAGGAAAGGCAGAACTCTATACAGTCGAACCCAGACATATTGAATTCAATGGGGATCGTAAAATAGTTAGATATGTCAATAATTTGATATACAAAAATATGTTAAATTAACCTAAAGTTGAAATTTCCTGGCGTCTCTGCTAATACCGAAGGTCAGGCCGCGACAAACGGGAGCTTCCCAAATAGAGCATCCAAGAGCCGCTAAATACAATAAAGCTTAGTTGGCGGGGACCGCCAACACAGCCGCGCTTACACGCACACCTGGCCGGGACCTCCACACAGTATAAACAACAAAACACAAAAATATTATGAAAAAAAAAAAAAAAAAAGTGAGACGCATAAAAAAAAAAAAAAATCTCGATTCATAGGAAAAAGTTAAGCAAGCAACAAAAAAGAAAGCTTACTAAATTCAGGCAGCAAAAAAGGCAAAAAAAAAAAAAAAAATGACGGGCAAAGTAGTAACGGCAAAAGGAGAAGGTAAACAAAAATAAGGCGTTGTCGGCACACTCGACTTGCCGAAGACTTTTTTTCCTTTATTTTATTTTGGGGTTAGGGAGTCGCACAGCATCAACAGTATTCGGGGAAAGGGCGCAGGCCACCGTTCCCAACAGCGGGCACTCCCTACTCTCCCTACGCGCGCGTGCACTTCCCTTTGTTTTTGCCGTCAACCACTTTTTTTTTACAGTTCATTGTCTCTCCTTTCCGACAACTGCTCTTCCACTGCGTATATTCCTATTCCCGCGTGTACGCTGGCTTGGCGGTCTGCCAGCCACGCAAGGCAAGCGATGTGCTCGCCACCAGCGCAATCGGATCGCAGAAAAAGCAACGAGCGGCCGGGCTTCGTTCGCTATATCGAGTGTCCCTGCCATGGGATATAAAACGACAACGCTCCTATACTATTACCGTTTGATATCAACAATACTTGGAAATAGTCGGGTGCGATATAACTAGGGTTCGGAGTTTTCAGTTTAAACCGATAAACACCGATAAAAGTACGCCGAATCCATTTTCGGAAATTAGGTTTTACCGAAAAAAGTCAGTTTGTAGGTTCGGCGTTTTCGGTTTAAACCGATAAAAACCGAATAAAGTATGTCTAATCCGTTTTATAGAATTCAGTTTTAACTGAAAAAGGTCAGTTTTTTAGGGCCGCGCTGAGGTGGATGGGGGAGAGAGAGAGAGAGAGAGAGCTTTGCGAGGTTCGACATTATGTGACGTGTTCGTGATTGCCCTCTTCCAAGGTTCAACGTGCAACCAAAGAGGTGTTGGATTGGCCTTCACGGGACATCTGTGTCCTTTCTGTGATCGGGCTTAGTGTGTCAAGTTCCCGGTCCCTAAAAAAAAAAAGTTTGGATGTGGGCTAGTATAAGGTTTTTCGCTTCATGCACTTCAGAGGACATCGAGGATAGCCGTCAATACCTTTCTTAACACGCTCTCTCTAACTTCCCTGTTGTTAAAAACATAAACACAATGGATTTTTTTTTTTTTTTTTTTTTTTTTTTACATTTTGCTGGTTTTTGTACGGTCATCACCTCAGACGGTCACATCGTCAGAATGGGAAGGAAAAAGAAGCGCGCTGAAGAAGTTATGCCCGCGAATTCTGCGATTTTGAGTTGTGTCCTGACAGAAGTTGTAGCGAGGACCACGTATGTATATCTGTCGTTATTCTTTGAGTGATTGCAAATATCACAGCTACAAGGATCATCTGATCCGGTGTCCGATGGTGCTTCTTTTATATTCACTGAAAAAAAACGGGAAACTGTTTCGGGAATAAATATACGCCGAAAAGAACCGAAAATTAGATTTTAAAATAAACACCGAAAAAAGTACGCCGAATTTCGATAAAATAAAAACCGAAAACGCGGAACCCTAGATATAACCGGGCTCGACTGTACTCGTTTTCACCTTAATTGTAGTATAAAAAATTCGGCTCCTGGTGGAGCATTACTAATTACCTCCCTTCATGCGGAGAATTAAGATTAGGTATATGTTATCTCCTCTGACAAGCAAGTCTTGTAACAAGCACTTTGAGCAAAACTTGCTTTCTTCTCGAAATGACGACCAATATAGCTACAATGCGGACAAGACACTCACATGGTTGAGAAACTTGCTCTCCTTGGTGGCCCAGCCAATCTGCATGACTCCCGAGGTGACAATGAGGGCCTCGTAGTACCAAACGCCAGAGTCCACTTGAAAGGTGCAGCGCACGCTCTCAAAGGACGAGGCGTCGCACCTGGCCTGCAACACCACAGGCTTGATTACAACTCTTGTCAGGTCAAGTAGCACACAAGTTGCATGGGCTTGGAATAAGCCTAAAAAGGAAAAGCGGTCTTGGACTCGGAAAGCTCACAAGAGTCTGCTTCTTGTGCAGCGCTCCGACTGGAAGGCGCAGTGGGTACACACATAGGTGAAACTTTTCAGCGCCAAACTGCAAGCATCAGTTCGCACCGTGTCCCATTTTTGACACACAAACTCGACTCTGTGACGTCACGCCGCGGTGGTGGCGCGTCGGGCGCACTTCCGGTCTGGGGCTGCGGGTGGAAGGCACCGTGCAAGACATGCATTCCTCTACTAATGTGGCGATGCAGGCGAGTTGGTTATGCATGTTGAAAGTATCAGCGCTCGTCCTGTTTGCCTCTCCGTCTTCGTATTTGTCTTTATTGTGCGCTTTCACTACTTTCAATTCCTGTGTTCTTGTGGAAGAAACCAGACAAAAAACCTGCCTTCTCGTCAAAACGCCGCGACGGAGGCTGTACCAAAATTGCCTGGAAAAGTTCCAAGATCAGTTTTCGTGTGTTTCTTGCCTCCTCCGTTCGTCCAAGAACGTGGATAGTAGCTGTGAAAAGGGCAAACTAGACGCTGTCGAACTACGATTGCTTGTGTGGAAAACACTTTGGGTTGAATTCACGGATACTTGTGGTCATCAGAATTGTCTCTTTCCAACATCAATGAGGAAAAACCACCAAGTTGTCCGAACCATCCGCGGTTCGGACAACTTCAAACGAACAAATTCAAACTGCTGCCCGATTGTTCGAAATGTCGTCTGTTCTTTCAAGCCTGTCTGCTTTTTGTTGTCTGCTCGTTCAAACAAAAGCGGCCCGTAGACCAAATGTTGACCCAGTGATTGCGATAAGTGCAGGCCTCAAAATACTTTTAAATTTGAAAGTGGGTTGGATTAAGTAGGCTCAGTGTGAACAGTAGGTACAAGGAGATGGTGATCATTGTTACCGGTGGCGATCACCAACTTGCAATGCGCAATTCCGCTTGCGATTTTCAGTATCAACGTCAATCATCTCAGTTACGGTCCATGCTTTTGTAGCCCGAGCGACGTCGCGACTGAAAGTAGCGAGCAGAATCTCATCGTGCGAGTCAGGCTTTAGCGCCCATTCTGCGGCGTCCACGCGGAATGAATCGCCGCACGTCGGACTATTCACACGAAATTTTGCGGCGTAACAAGCCTCGTTAATTTTGCTGAAGCCCCTCAAGTAGTCGGACATTGTTAGGAAGACGTAGAATCAACAATTCCAATGCGAAAAAGAGCACAGGGACTCGCACCGGCGCTGACAACATCGCCTTCCAATGGTTCGTTTATGGGGGACGGCGAGCTGCTTGCCCACACTCCATCGCGCATGCACGGTGCCGGTGGCGTCCGCTAGGGGCGCTCCCGCTTGTTTGTAAACATGAGTTGGTCTATATGACAAAGCCTGCACGTCCACTTTGCCACAAAGCACGCCGGTCATTTACGGCTGCAGCAAACGTTGAGGCATCGGTAATGTTTGCATTTTAATCCTCAACCTTCCTTCAATCGTAGGAATGTAGGTCAAGACAAATACAATGCCCCGATGCATCGTCCCATTCTCACCACCAGACCGTTGGAGGAGATCTTGAGGTATTCGCTGACGTCATTGCTGTTGAGCATGGCATTGATGTTAGACCTGTCAGTCACTTCGTAGGTGTAGCGTCTCCCCTGCAACAAGCACGCACAACTCACTTATCGCACTAAACTATTAAAAAAATGTTGGCTAGTTGGTGAGGGTTGGCAGAGCCCCTGCTCTGCCAGCTGTCAAGGGTGGTAAACAACGCAAATACGCGACCTCACAATGCCCGTTGCCCTTTGGCAAGAAACAATGTACACACCTCTTGGATGACTGCCGTTTCCACATGAAAAGCAGGAAAAGGAATGTCAGAGCAGCAGCAACCAGCACAGCTGGGACGGAAAATGGTTCTCCTGACGAGGAAACTTTCACTCACACAGGTTGTCTAGGCACCACTGGGCACAGAAGCCCACCTGGCGCTCCACAAAGTCGCTGCTCGTCACCCAAGGCTCCATCTTGACGAGGGGGTTTTCTGACAGGGCGGCCAGACGCCGCTCCAGCGTCATCTTGTTTTCACCTGGGACAAGAAGCATCGCAAATGGTGGCACTCCTGGCGTGCTGTCGGCCCTCCGATCCAACAGATGAGCCACTGTCTTGTGTCAGAACAGCACTTCCCAAAAAAAATTTTTTTCCCAAAGCTATCTGTATCCTGAAAATGGCCTGTTCTGTCAGAGCAAACTCAATTCAAATCTTGCATCATCCCCCTATCTGAAAGCCATGAGTTGAAAACTCTAATTCTCTCCTCCAAGCTTCTGTGCTACCATCTGAGAGCAGCAGCTCACAAATACCACACATTAATGGCTTCAATCACAAGGGGCAGATGAAGCAAATATTGAAAAGCGAGACAAGTGGTAACAATGTCAGCACTAGTCACCACTCACTTGTTTGAGCAAATTTTTCCAAGGCAATCAGTGAGAACAAAATCACCAGGGTATTGCAATTCAAAGGATCCTGCATGAGAAGAGGGTGGAAAACGACTGGTCATCAGTCAGCGGCAAGGATGCAGGATTATCACACACTTGCGCACAACTTGTGCAGCTTTCACTGTCTACCTAAACATCCTACTCTGAACTCCTTTGTTCTAATTCATATTCATGCGAAATTGTGGAGGCAGCACAATGAGAGTACTGGAGGCAAGTGCAGGGCTTTAATTCCATGATAGCTGGACTTGACAGCTGACACTCTTGACCCAAGCAATGCAACAACTTGTAAACTTTCTTTACTATGTCAAAAGAAAGTTCTTTTTGTAGAGAACATGAGATACTTAGTTTCACCGTAACAAATGGCCATGGACCAAGCAAGCTAATTAGCGTGTCGGAAACCCGCTTCGGTACCAATTTTAAGTGCTCCGAGGGGGACAAAAGTCACGTCTGGGATACACCAAAGAGGGTCTTCTCCAACAGGTTATGCCCACTCCCCTAGGGCTGTCACGTGCCCTCACCACTCTGATTGGCTCCGGAGGCGTTCCCTCTTTGCCAAGAAATAAACAGCATCATTTTTTTATCTCCATTATGCAAGTACTTTAAGAAATTTCGTATCGAGCAGCACTGAATCGACCCCCTCAACAGCCTGTCCAGGCAGTTTATTCAGCCTGCTTTGCTTTCAAACAAAACACTGCGATAAAGACGTGCTCTGCATGCCATAAGGAAACCCTCAGAGGTTCTCAGACTGAGCACCAAGAGCCTATGCTCAACTGGGGTACAAAAAAAGAGTTGCTTGCTCCCCAAAGAAAAACGAGAAAGAACAAGCATGGCACGGCTTATTAAACAACAGCCCTAAGACCCTTTGGAGTCCATGAAGACGTTTCTAGGGCCAAATTACAGTGTTGGTTTTTATTTCTCTTTAAATAAAGCTTGAACAAAAAATATTAAACTTTTAGAAAGACAAATTAAGTAGAACCGCTGTTGACTCTTTCGTTATCAACCACTATCTCAAAATGTTTTTAATTTACCAGGGTTGGCCTTTAAGAAGAAAGTACCGGAACCGCCTAAATGGGGCACTTTGGGCCTGACTGATCGCTGAATCCCTAGGCTGGTGAAAATGGAATGGTTGAGCGGGTGTGATGCTTCCTACTGTAAAACACTGAGCATGTGCTCAAGTCACAGGAAGTGCCCAGCCCTTGCTTTTGAAACATTTGAAATGCAGTAAACTTTCGTTAGTTCGACCTCGGTTAATTCGACTTTTCATTTAATTCAATAGTGTTCAAGAGTCCCGGCGAGCGCCCATACATTTCTATGAGAGGAAAAGTTTGATAGTTCGAACTCGGGAAGGCTCCGGATCGGATAATTTGTCCCGAGCGAATGCGCGCAGGCTCACATTGCACTGCACCATCGCAGAAAAACCACCAAGGTACGGCGAAACACGGGCCCTTCGCTGCAAAGCCGAACGTGTGCAAATATGCGCCTGCTCCTTTACGCCATTGAGTGGGACCGTAGCGAATGACACGAGCCAGCGCAACCAATCTGGCGTGAAGTAGCGCGGAGAACATACACGTGGTCGGTCGCGGAGACAGCGCGCGCTCTCAAAGCGCTTGTCTGTAGCATTGTGTGCGGTCCATCTTGCGCGCCGAAAAGCGCAAATTCTCTTTTCCTTTTTTTTTTTGTTTATTTTCTTTGTTGCTGACGGTCTGGCTGCCCGATGCCAAAGTCGGCGCGTAAAAGTGTGCGATTTTGCAGGGTTTTGACGTTTAGTGACGCTGCTCTCTGCAGCATGCTTTTGGACACGCGTTTTAAGCGCAGACTGCAGCAGACCAACCGTGAGTACTTGGATAATAAAAGGAAGCTTAATTTTAATTGTTTTTTGTCCTTTTTTTTTAATTCAATCGTTTGGACAATTTGACCACATTTCAAGGTTCCGTTGAGGTCGAATTAACGAAAGTGTACTGTATAGGCAAAAGACATATCATGCACCCACCCCAGCAAATTTTCGAGCTAATCGAGGTGCTTCTTCGCTTCAGGTGCTTCTCCGAGAAGCCGGCGCACAGAGTGAAGCTTTAACCCATTCGCTACCGAAGCTGGCGAATCGCCGGGTGCGCCGTCAGGAGCCACATTGCCAAAGCCGGTGATTCGCCGGGCTGTGTATATTTCTGTTTTAAAAAACCATTTATAGATGGCGTGCTATATAGACTTGGTGTAGTGTAGCTAGATACGCTGCCAACAGATGGCAAGAGTCCTTCTGTTCGCAGTGTTCGTTTGAGCTTGTTCTTTTGTGTGTTGTCGTTCCCGCTCGATCACTGTTCGCTTGGAGAAGATGACAGCATTGAGTAGTCGGCTTGGCCTTTCTGACAATGAAATTATAGATATCCTCTTTGACAACGATGATGACGGGACATCTGGTGAGGACAGTGATTTTTTGGAGCCTTCTGCCAACCACGGGAGCGATTCCGACAGCAGTTACGAGTCAGAATCACGACAAGATAGCCCTGGTTGTGCGACACCTAAGCGACCGAGAATGGAGGAATGGACCAGGGCTGATGACGGCACTGCCGAGAAAGTATGGAAAATCCCTTTTTCTGGATCTGCAGGACTCGAGTGGCCAATGAGCGCAGCCCTAGGTGACAACTGCTCACCTTTGGAAATGCTGAACGCGCTCCTCGGAGAAGATGTTTGGGAACTGGTGATGGACTACACAAATGCTTTCACAAGGAAGAAGTGGCGCACTGAGTCAGACCCAGAGTGGTTTCCTACGACTCCAGGAGAGATCAAAGTCTATGGTGCCTCGTGCATCTTGATGCAGCGAAGCAATTGTTATCGACCCCTTCAGAGACCGTCTTGGTGATGGACATACCATTTACTCAGACAACTGGTACTCCTCACCGCATCTCTTCCTGGCCATCAAAAATGGTGGATCCAACACTGTCGGAACAGTCAGAACAAACAAGAAGAATATACCGAAAGATCTGAAAGCATTGAAGCTGGCCAAGGGTGAAAGCAAGACTTCATTTTCACATGGCATCATGGCTATTCAATGGCAGGATTTAAAGCCTGTTATTATGCTTTCAACATGCCACGGTGCTGTTGACATCACTTACACCGGAAAGAGACGACACGGTAAATGAACCAGTACTGAAGCCTCTAATCGTGCAAGAGTACAACAAAGGAATTGGAGGTGTTGACTGGCAAGACCAGCAGCTTGCATCATATCCGATCGTGCGTCACTGCGCAAAAGGATAGAAGAAGGTTCTCTTCTACGTCTTCGACATGGCCGTGTACAATGCCTACGTTCTTCGTGCAAAAAAAACACAGGAAAATGGGGGAGCTAGTATACTGACTAGAAAAGTGAACCCCTCCGAAGAAATTATCGAGGAGACAGCTCTTTCCGGATACCGGAGACGATGAAAGTAGCCTGGCAGACCGTCCCCAATGCGCCTTAAAGGAGCTGTGCAACGATTTTAACGTTGAAAGAATTGGCATCTTCTTCTGCTTTTGATATTGTTCACCTTGTCACAAATGACAGAAAAAACACCTCCTTTCATAGAAATATTGCGATTCCGCCGCGTAATAGCGAGGCAAAACTTAGAATATTCCCCGACCTGCAGCCGCGAGCGGCGGCCATGAGAAACACGCAGCGTGACAACAATGGGGAATCTTGTAGAAAGATAGCAAGTTGTGCGAATACCTGCTCGATAAAAGGTAACTTCTAAAAATCTTGTCGTTCTAACATATATATAAATGCGTCAAACACCTGCTATCATCGACAAAACTTCTATCATACGGAGTTTTAGTGGCGCCACCTATCCTAGGTCCACAAAACCGTCAGCTCTCTGTTACCGCAAACAGCTGCCAAAAGCCGGAGGGAGAGGGGGACAGAGCCGAACGGGTATGGCCGGACCCGGATCAGACTTTCCTCTTTTCACGATATTGTTCGCGCTGCGCCCGCCAGCACGTGGTCACGCGGTCGCAAGCGGAGTTCTCGCTGCTCACTGATGGCTCTAAAGAGAGAACTTTTCCGGACCCCGCGCCTACCCCATCAAGGTCACTGCGCATGTGACCCGGAAGACGACATACAAGTTGAGAGGCGGCAAAAACCTGGATCTTTTTTATTTTTTAAAAATAAAAACTAGGGTATCCAGGCAAAATCTGTTTTCTTCACTTCAGAAGTGTCAGGCATCAACTTCTACAATAATTTAAGCAAAGCCCTGAAATTGTTGCACAGCTCCTTTAAGGCCGCAAGGTAGGCACACTTCCCCTCGTCAGATTCCGCCAAATCCTGTCAAGCTAAACCTATCAAGGCACTAACAAGTGTGCAAGGCACAAGGCAAGAAAAGTGAAAGTCGACGAGAGTGCGAGAAGTGCGGCGCAGCTCTCCACATGCCCGAGTACTTCAAGATCTATCATACGATGAAGAATCTGCCAGTGCCTAATATTGATTTGTAGACTCTAACAAACCACTTAAAATGTAAATAAACATGTCTTCTTGTTTTCTAGACCGAGTTTTACTGTAAATGCTTATTATACAAGCAAAATAGTCATGCCTAGAGTAGCCGTTTTAGGGGGAAAAAATGTGCAATACGGACCACCCGGCAGCGCACGATGCGTGCGGTAGCCAATGGGCTAAGCACGTCGGTGTGAAATGGTAAAGTTTGATGATTTATCACCAGCGGATTTAAAAATAAGGGTACTGCCAGACCTCTATACTGCCCCTATACTGTTCTGTCAGATCAAAGAAGGGCCTACCCTACCGTGTGCCCCTTCTGCTCTCTGGCTTAAAAGCTTTTGCACAGGCACTTGCTCGGTATTTTACGGTAGTGGAAAAATAACCCACACTAGAGTAGGTACTATTCAGGCAAGTGCCCTTCTCTCCTCCAGTTCTGGATGGGACAATCCTCGGACAATCCCCGATTAGGACGCAGATGGTCAAGATCCCCTATGGCCACCCCATCGGGATGTCCGAGGCTGCCTCGACTCACCAGGTTTGCAACAAGGTACTCCAGGGTGTCTGGCGTGAGCAATGCCACGCTGCTTGGACCTGGTGGGCCAGATAAGAAGAGCCACAAAACTCTATTCAAATCATCATGTTCCCAAGCGTTATTCAGGCATAAAAACAATTTCTATAAAGAAACCAATGAACTGAGTGCAATGAAACCTTTCACAAGGGTGTCTTGAGGTGGCTCATTTAAGGCTAAAACAAGCTTCCTATGCACAAAGAGGAAAATGGTAAAAATTGTTAGGTTGATGCCTCACAGATGGCACAACATAAAGCAAGCATTTGTCAAATGAACGCCCAAAAGCAGATTCGAAAGTGTGCAGTATACCACCTACGAGGGTAGCAGCATCAACCAGTCGGTTTGTGCCGTTATCCTCCCTGCGGATATCTAAAGGCAGGCTCCGGAAAAATATATGATGATCATCGATTTTCATAAAATTTTACCCACATTGAACATCCGCCCCCGAGTACGTCTACAAAATATCTCGTCAAAATAATATTCTTTTTCCAAAAAACTAATTTACAAGTTTACGCATACACCTATGAATCGCCGACTACTGTTCTACTGACAGCAACAGGAGGAGGGGGAGGAAGAGGGGAGGGGGGGGGGGGGGGGGGGGCTTGCGACGTCAAATGTTGTATCCGAGAGCAGATGACGCTCCCTCCTCCGCGCCGTTGTGGTGATGGCGAGAGTCTGGTTTAGGCTATTTGCGGCATGCGATGGAGGATGGGAAGAATCGGTCATGTGCTGTGGGGTGCAACAACACCACGAAGAAATGCAGCAGTACCATCTCATCGGTTTCCGACCGAGAAGTTTCTGTGACGGAAGAGGGTCTGAGCAGTTTGAAGCGAGAGCTGGCTCCTAGCGCTCGCATTGTGCTAGCAAACAAAACCTTCCATATCATTGCACTTCTGAAGCAGAATCTGGGTCCATACGTCGGCGGTTTGCAAATGCAGCCACCACAGGTGGTCCCCTCGGAGGCGATGCCGGCGGATTGAATGCAAACGGTGAATCGTCCGAAATTTTGTGCTGAAAATCTTATAACATTTGCTGGCTGTTGCTTGACTCAGAAAAGCTCGATGAATCAGATTCCATTATTTCCCATGGACGTACACGACGGCCTTTTGACTGCTTCTGACGCTGGGTGAAACAGGCTCGAACTGCCCACGTGCTGTTTATACAGTCGACATTGCAGCAAGATAGTAAATCAGTGAAGTTGCTGCAAAATTTAATGCCATTAAGTGGCCCAAATAGCAGTCTAACTTTTATCATGCTAATGGCATTAATTAAAACATTGTATTATTTAATGGGACACGGTCACTTTGGTATGTTAACAATAGACAGTATTTTCTTCACTGTTCACTTCTTGCCCAATACAACAGAGTTTCGGCAGAAAACAACCAGTCTGCATGAGGTACACTGACACTAGACTGAGCCGAGTGTAAACAATCTGCGGGTTTCACTGTGCCGACATCTCAAATGCACGGGAATCGGGCCATCTGACAGCGCAGATCTTTTCAACTTGTTTTTTCGTCGGCTACTAGAAGTACCCCGAGACATTTGTTTGTATGACATAGGCGCAGGCGTTGATAGCGAACAATGTGGCAAGATCAAATTTTGAAAAGGTCTATAGAGGCACAAATCACCTGCAAGCTTTTCTGCAATGCAGCCCAGTACAACACAGATATTCCTGTGCCATGTCGGGTTGCTTCTGCCACCAACCGACAGCTCCCTCGACAACTGGAACATCTGCGACAGCTTCCCGACAGACTCCTGGGGAAGAAACGGGCCATTCAGTAGCTAAAACAACCCCCAATGAAAACGTTTGCAATTTTTTTAAGGGGCAACATCACCTTGAAATGTGGACTTTAAAACCAGTTGATCAATATTGATGAAATTTGGAGGGTCTATTCATTTCATTGCCTAAATGCACTCTATGAAATTTCATCTCTGTAGGACTATTTTCCGACAAGCTACAGGGGAAGGTACACAGCTGCTATTGATGTAAGCCACCTCACTTGGCAAGGAAATCTATCGTATAAAATTGCAGGAGAATATTGAGCATTTCTAAGCTTTAGCCTTAACTAGAACATATGGTGGGTGGGGCTATTTATTTTTTACCTTAAAATCCGTGTTCTTTCTATGCAAAATGTCAATTGAAAAGCATTCCACATAATGGGGCATTTTCTCCTCATCAAAACTACCTTTTGGCAATAAGAACTTCATTTCAATAGAAAAATAGATATCTAGCTCCCTTCCTCATTAAATTTCAGTTCAGAAACATCCACAGCAAAGAATACATTCAGCGATTCATTGAAATGATAGATTTCCTAAAACGAAAGTTGCTGCAAAGAAGTGAAACTGAGAAAAACCTGTTTGAAGTTTCCGCACCACTACAATTGCTTTTATTGGAGGTGGTGGCAACTGAAAGGCACCAAGCGCCTAGATGGTGCCTTCTGCTTACACCCAATCTCCTGCATGGCTTTTCTGAGCGAATCCAGGCTTAAAACGCTTTCTTTGAGTGTCATTTTGTCGTCGGCATGTGGACATTGTCACAGTGATTGTGAAACGAGTGAGGAATTGGGTATGCTTGCAATACACTAACCAGCATCAGCAAGTATGGGCGGGGAAAGCATCATCGAAATACAAAGCAGACAAACCCACGTGACTTTCTATAAATGAATGCTGGTTTTTGTCAGTTTTGTGTTCCATCAGGGTGGGCTTTTCGATTCTTGGCCATATGCATAGCCTCTTCTACGTGAAAGCTGGACTTCTATGCTGTTCTCGCCCAAATAGAGTTTACTCTCAAACAAAGATATTTATTGAACTGAAACTGTGAAGAAATGCTCTTTCCAACGAGAATATGATCATCATTCTATGGCACACCGGTGCGAAGCTACAACAGTTTGAAAATAGGAAACGGAAGTTTCACATTTCAAAAACGTGATTTTGCATCGTTGGCTTACCGAAAATGTTTTATTTCTCCCTAAATACTTCAGATATTGCAATAAAAGTTTGCAGGAGTATACACCATTAGTTGTAAAACCACAATACATAAAAAAAAAAAAAAAATTCTTTTTTTTTTCTCAAAAATTGCAATTTAAAGGGCTACTCCACCGATTTTTTCATTGTCTCCGATTTGCTTGAAATTTTGCTAAACTAACCAACAAACATCGCGAAAATAGTATCCCAAATATTAGGTCAAAATATTGTTTTTTCGCGAAGTTATTGAATTTACAGTTTTGGTCCTCACCGTGTTTTTCAAGCTCGAAGTCTCTACTGGCAACGATGAAAAAGTGACGTCAGTGGAAGGCAGGGGTTCACTCTTTGGGCTGTAGATTTCGTTTTAAACTGATTCGAAGCAGTTTCATGGTGTCAAATGAATGCTTGGGAAGCTCGCTGCAGTACCCGCGCTCCAGCACGGAACAAATGATTGGCATATTCTATTTTTTGGCTGCTTGCTCGACTGGCAAGCCTGCCTGCCACTGACGTCACGGCCCTGAAAAGCGCGCGTATATTTGAATGTTGGTTTTTGCATCATTTTCATTTGCCGATTTCGCAATAACTATTATGAATTTCGCGATTCTAAATAGCATACCGGAGAGAGTAAAGGCCGGGGAGTCAGAAAATATAGTTAGTTGAGGTAGCTCAAAAAATCGGTGGAGTACCCCTTTAAAGGGGCCCTGCAATCATATATAAGCGTCCACGTTTTTTGCGGCTTCCACGTCTCTTGAGGTTCAGGCAAGCCAGCGGGCACGGAGAGAGTAACTAAATATCAGTGCGTCATATTTTAACCGGACGACGCGGAAACCTTCTCCACCGACGAGGGCGACCCGCGGTACCGAAAGCGCGCAAAACGTGACGTCTTTGGTCCTGGGCTTACTACTGGTCAGAGCCGCTAAAAGCTTCTTTTTAGTCGAAATGCAAAATATAAGTGGCGCGAACCGTTTCAATTCTTTATAAAAGTAGTTTTTGTTCAGTATTTTAGTTCAAAAAAAGAAACGAATGCAGTTCATAAAGCACGGAAACAAGAAATGACCCGCCGACATACCCGCCACCAAGCGGTGGAAAAGGGGACGCATACTAGAAAGGAGTAGTGGGATCAGGCGCCGACACGGAAAGGTCACGGATGTACGCGGCGGCGCTGCGGTCGTTTGGGCAGGAGGATCCGACCGGCTCCGAGCGTTCCGAAAGCCTTCGGCGAAAAGCTTTGTCTTGCGGTTTGGCCGTTTCGCGGTATGGCAGCGCAAAGCAGCTCCCATTGTAAACTGATCTTTAGCCCGTGTTTGCTGTCGTTTGTGGCCAATGAAGTGTCATGCCGAATTAGTATTTAATCGCGCAGCAAATGCAATGAGAGCCGCTCTAGCTGCCCGCTGCATACAGCCTATCCAGAACATGCTTCAATGTCGCCCTCTTGCGCCGTCGACTCAGAGTGCGGCAGCCGTGAGCACTCGATAAACTCACTACCCCTCTTCTAGTTGACGGCCACTCTCAAGCAACCAAGGACGTCATAAGGGACGTTATTTTTTGCTTGTTTTTGTAATTTTAATTTGCCTATAACTTTTAAAATAAAGGGAATTTCGAGAAAAGAAAAGTTTCACTAAGTTACTACGTTCAGTGCGCTCAGGTTCGGTGCAAATTAAAAATTAGTAAAAAAATCATTGCAGGGCCCCTTTAAGCACTCACATGCTCGACAGCTGCCAATGAAACTTTGGACCACTATTCAAGAGTCGTAATTGACTCGAACCCCAGGATCGTTTTTGGTGATTAGTGGTAAAAAACGTGCCCCTAAGGACCCGAGAGCAACCTTGGTCGGCAGGGGGCAGTCGTCCAGGATGAGGGTGATCACAGCGGGGCCCAGGGGGTCCTCCATGGGAATGGCGTTGACCATCGACTTGACCACCAGGAGCCAGCCGGATTCCTTGTCTGCCAGCAGGTGCAGCTTGATCATGAACGGGGGCGGCTCCTGCTCACTGCAGGCAAGGGCACACAGCTCAACCTCAACGTGCTGTCCGAGTGCAGAAGGATATATTTGGGCTCAAATGCACACCGAGGAACCGGCCCCAAATGCCACATTCCACACTTCAAGGGACTCCAGGTGATCCGATAAAACACCGAGGAAGGTGCACCAACCATGAAAATAAAACACTGCCCAGTATCCCAAAAAATGTTCCACACTCCAAAGACAGCCCACCTCAGCTTTAGGCCATACTTCTCTGTCCACGCAAAAACACCTCAAGAGGCCACTGCTCAAGATGGCACCGCCCAGGTGACCTCGGCAGTAATGAACACTTTTCACCGCTGACATCTTGCTGTATTTGTGGGGGCTCTATACTGTGTTCAGTTGACCAAAATTGCTTTGGTACAAGGCCTATCAGTAGAAAGCATTCAAACTACATTAAAAGAACAGCCATGGTGCTGTGGCCAGTGGTGGCCATGGCAGCACTAATGAAACAGAGACGTCCGACTACGGCCTCGTTCTCGGGGACTCGAACCTGAAAAATATAACATTTTGGTTATGCTTACGGTTACAGTTTCCTGTTGCTTTCGGCTTTATTTCAGTTTTTTACGGCTTTAATTTTTACGGTTTCGGTTACCAATTACACGTTCCTAAAAACCATTTTTTTTCTTCTGTTTCTCCAATAATAATGTTTTTTTGAAATGCAAGACAGCCATTTTATAATAAACGGTTTAAAGTAGTCCCAGATATCCAACGAAGGGACATTCACAATAACAAAAACTCAAAAACGTCTTAGTACTTCTAATGGGTCAAAAGTTGCACACGTTTCTAGCTCCAACACTTGTTCACTACATCTATTTGCATTATATAATATGATACCCAAGCATACATGTTACTCCCGCTACTCGGGGATCATAGCATTTTATAGAATAAAAATAAACATCACTACTTTGTCGTTCGGCAGCATTTGTAAACAACCCTCAAAAAGTTCCCCCTGGGTGCTGGAAGAGCCATTTGCACCTTCTCGTCTCTATAGTTTGTTGCAACCTAAGATAAGCAGAAAGACTTTGCCCACAGTGAGGGAAGGAGCAGAACTATAGCCCTCCTCTAGTAAAATACTGCCAAATGTAATGAAGTAATAAAATTGGGAGCTAGGCTAGTTGGTGAAAGTCAAACCTAATGTAAATACTATAGTGCAAAGCAAGCAAGACTAAGGAGAGAAATGAACAACACAGAAAGCTGTAAAAATATGTCCTCTGTTCTAAAAGTATGTTCGTTGGTTTTGAAAGGACAGAGTTGGATGAACATCTCAGAATTCTAACTTATCAGTTAATACTATGAAGGCGACACATACTCAATACATGTAGCGACTGTAGGAGTGCGGCAGATTTAGAAATTGAGGAGTTTCATTACAAGCTCAACCACCGACTCCAAATAGGTATTCTTAAAGGGACACTGACACCCCCCAAATATTTTTTTTTTAATTTTTTGCCAGATGTTTAACATGGTGTCAGAAGACTCCCCAATCAATATTTTGCTACAGCGTCACATATATTTTCAATAAAGTAAAAATAATGCACTGCTCAAAACCAATACTGGACTGGGGAGGAAGAAGAAATATAGAGGAGGAGCATTGCCGGAAGTCACGTGGCTGTGCTTTTTAAATTCGAAAGCATTAACTGTCCCATGCAGCGATCCGGCGTTATCAGCTTTTGAAGCCGCGCCAAACGCCACCTAAACTGCCCTGTCCCAATGGAGCGAAGCCTGTCATATGTAGCAGCGATTAGATAGATAAGCTCCCATTGGCTGGCGTGTATCATAGTTTCAAGGAACGAGGCTCCCATTGGCTGCCACGCGGCATAGTTCCAAGGAACGCCACACCACAGAGAAGCCCTCTCCATGGCGGTGCAACGGCCCGGCCGCAGAGCCAGCAAAGCCCGCCCGGGCAGACTCCGGGGAGGCTCCATAGCCGAGCTCAGCGCAGCGCAGCCACTTCACGAGAGAGCGCGCTCGGCCGTCGGCCGCTACCTCGGCAGGAGCAAAACGTGGCCGTTCACGCCGGTACGCCGCAGACGAACGAAGGGAGCGGAAGAACGACATTCATGCTTTCGCATTCACAACTCATAAAAAGTGCTTAGATGTCCTTGTAATTCTTTTTTTTCTATTTATTACAGCTTTTTAGAAGTCACAAAAAAATTGATATCATATTTCTTTTTTATATTGAGTGTGTGCCTTCGATGACCCACAACCCTGATTATATTTGGTGGTTGTAACTAAACCATAGAAGACGGCGTTGTGAACCAGAGAAGAGAGTGAGCGCGACCCAAACTGGCCAGTTCTCGATCGGCGGCTTTCGGGCAGCGAATTTCGAGCCGCGAATCGTGTTCTGAATAGTTGGGCTCTCATGTGCCATGTACAAATAAAAGCCTTGGTGAGCGAAAATACCCTGTCAGTGTCCCTTTAACACTAAATTTAGATTGAACGGAAATGTATTAAAAGATGCAGCACTCACTGATGGTAACTCTGTCAAATGGCCACGACATTTCAAGGTCCCTCCTCGAGGTCATTCTTAAGAAACACTGATATTTTTATTTTTCGGTTAATATTGGTTACGGGTAAATACTTTACGGTTACGGTTTTCATAAATTTCAAATAACGATTTCGTTCCAGTTACGATTACTGAAAAAAATTAAGTTTCTAAACAGCTTTCGCTTTTGGTTACAGTTACGGTTCGAGTCTCTGCTCAATTTAGCTTCTCTACTGCGTGGGATGTCGGATATTATATCGAGGCTACAACATAAAGGCAAACTGGCAGCTCAATGAACCTTTTTCGGGTTGCCCTGTACGCATGCGCCTACTCTCGCTCGCAGTGCGTTGCTGCCATTATCCAAGGGCAGCCATGCCGTGGTACAAATAGCAGCTAAGTAACAAATGTTTGTTTAAGTTGTATTGTGATTGTGTCATAATCATGTTTCTTTGCAGTTTGCCGGTGCTGCATGGGTGACTTGTTTTTGTACATGTTGTCCAGCATGTGACCCGGTGAAGCACTGAGTCGGTATCCAAGAACGCAAAGGCAGAGGCGCAGCACTTTGGCGTGCCAAGGAAGCTTCGATCCCGCCGCGAGACCGGCGAAACTTGCTTTCGAAGAGTTGTGCCTCTGTCCTGCCGCGCTTTGCTTTCGGAAAAATTTCCACGTGTTCTCAAAGGCAAGTCTCACCGTTTACACAAGGTCCTAAAAAAACACTTATTCGGTGAATGACAACGAACGGGTAGAAACAGTGTCTTCAGCTCAATGCCGCCAGCCTCTGCAAAGCTCCAAAAAGGTGATTTTTCTGCATGCAAAATGGCTGTACGGTGGCCGCACTCGCGGAGCGGGAAAGCGCGATCCAGCAATCATCATAGAGATAAGTGGTCGTGGCCATTTGACAGAGTTAGCATCAGCGAGTGGTTCATCTGGTAATACATTTTCGTCCAGTCTAAATTTAAGATTAAGAAAACATAGTTGGAATCAGTTGTCGAGCTTATAACAAAAAAGTTCCTATTCCTAAATCGGCCACACACCTACAATCGCAACAAGCTATACATGGTATTCTAAGATCAACATAAACAAGTAATGGAGGAACTCCCTGTGGCCAAGATAACTTCCGGTTGACCAGCTTCTTGCGTATGTTTCAATGAGCAAGAATGAGCGTGTGCACCTCTTAAGTTTTTCTTGGCGAAACACTGAAAAAGGTATGTCAAAAAACGGATGTAACATACCGTAGAATACCGCACATCTGCCCATGCCACACTAAGCGCCCATACCCAAATTTGTAAGATCTGAGAAAATACGCACAGTAGATTGATATGTAAAATTGATGACCGGACAAGCGCCCATCTCCCATTTTTCTGCGATTATCTCTAAATTTTAAGTGGGCGCTTGCCCATATATTACGGTAGATCAGTGTGTGTTTCTGGACCATATGGCACCAAGAAAAGCATCGCATCAAGTTTTATTTGGCCTCCGTGGCGAAAGTTACTTGGCCCTACCTGACGTCCCAGTGGAAACTTGTCTACGGGTGCGACACTGTACAAAGTTAGACGCCCACAAATCAGCCGAGACATGCAATTGTTTCGCGTCTTTCGAGCACAGGAGAGCGCGTGCAAGCATAGCATTGCTTTGTCAAATGCGCGCTGTCGCCGTGAGTGTCTGAGCTGGCCAAAGCGAAACTATGATATGCCTGTCGGACGTAGTTGAAGGAGGGTGTGAAGAATTGTGCCACTCGTGCTCGATCGTGCCCTGGAAAAATCGAGCGATCAGTTTTCGACGACGACTAGAGATATATCTGTCGTAGTGTGTACAATTGTGCCACTCATTCTCTAAATAAAAAAAAATAAAAAAAAAGAGAGAGCAGCGTGGTTTCTGAGGATGAGTGAAAATATTGTGATTGTGACAATGTCGACCCGACCTACCGCATCAATCCCGTGAATGATTTTCACGTCCACACAGTTGCAGACACCGGCGTCAAAAGGCTATTTTAGATTCTAGAGAACTAGTTTCACGTCCGACTAGTTACGATCATGCGATACTCCTGATCACATAGCCCATTTCTTTCAACTGTTCTGTTTGGGCAGACATACACAAGCGCTTTTGTGTTTGACAGCGTGGGTGAGTAATAAAATCGAGTGGTTTCATGCCATGTTTCATGTCTCGCTTTAATCGTGTCACAAACAGACGCTTTATTGCATGCTAAAAAAAAAATCTGGCTCTCGAGCTTCGAAAATCATGTTTCTGAGATTGACGTGGAACCAAGCCCGAGGTTCGGTTCCATGTGTAAAGATCTCAAGTCCTCCACTCATATAAACTCTCAAAATTTATGTTTGTTTTCGTTTCTTAATTTGTCTGTGGATTTTTGTTGGAGTTTGTTAAGGACTCCCGTCTTTCCCCTGGTATTGAGGACATGGTGACAGGGAATTTTTCACTCGTTAAATAATAGAGACCCTAAGAAGTGCCCTGGTCCTGACGCTTTACAT